CTTTAATATAATTTCATATATATTTAAATACATTTTTAAGTCTTTAATATATTTTGATAGACTACCATTTCTTTTCACACTCAAACGTTTTGCTTTTTTACTTACTTTGAGCGTAGAGTTATATGTCTGATTTCATCATATTTTAAATTAGCTTTGTTAATTATAAAAGTTTGCATTTTTTTTTTATTAATAAAGTGTCAAAATTCTAAAAATTCTAAAATAGACAGGAACAAAAAATTATAGTTTGGATCTTTAAATAAAATACTTGAATTTTACACAACAAAATTAATTTTCTATAAAAAATTTCCTTTTGTTATATCAAAGAAAACGGATTCATTTCTTATATAAAATGAGTATAAGTATATAATTGAGTATGAGTTCTTATATAAATGAGTATAATGCATACCCTATACTTTTTGCAAATTCTGATTAGGGTATTTCATAGTCGACTGCTGCTAACTTAATTTAACTTTGCCTGCAGCTGTATAACAATAAAACGCAACAGACGCTGCTGTTCGCAGGAGTCGCAAAGGAACCTGGACAATAATTGTTGCTGCTGTTGTTGTTGTTGTTGTTGTTGTTGTTGTTGTTGTTGCTGTCGACATCGTAAAACTTACTAAACAAGTCTCACTGGTCAAATTCCAGAGACGACATTTAAGGGACCACCTGTCCGGGGGAAGTTGGAGAGAGGTGGAGGAGGGAAAAATTGAGCAATGGAAAACTAGAGTGTGGAAACTTTCGCCTACAACAGCATTAACCCAAATTTGTGGGCACAGCTAACCGCACAACCAATTGTTGCTGCTGCTGCKCTGTGGCTGCTGCTACGGCTGCTGCGGCTGTTGGCCATGGCTCAGATCTGGGGGCAGCCATTGAGACGTCCGTCTTTGCAATTTGTCAACGCGTTCGCCGTGGCGTATATAATGATCATTCATTTAGATGCCAGCCGCCAGATAAGCGGCCCAGCTAAATATAGTATGGATATATATACTTATATACATATGCATATATATATATGTATGTGTGTATATATAATGGTGATGGCGAGTGCTTAAGCCGATGTTGCCACCACTTGACATGGTCGTGCAGCTGCAATGGGCAACGGCAGAGACGAGCAGGAGGCGTGGCGAGGAGGTGGTGCGGTTTATCAATGGCAACGCTTTGAACTAGTTTTAGGGCGCGAAAGCATGAGCCTAGAGTTAAGACAGAAGTGGAGGCAGCACAGCCAAGTGGGAAAAACCAGTTTTAGGTCTTTCTTTTTTTTTTTTTTTTTTTTTTTTTTTTTTGGCATAAATTATATATTTTTTTTTTTTTTTTTTTTTTTTTTTGGTTCAACGACTGCCAAAGTGAACCCTTTCAACTGTTGCTGCTGCTGCTGCTTCTTCTTCTTCTTTCTCTTCCCCTTCTTCTTCAAGTTTATGCTTTGGCAATGCAAATACAAATATTGGCAACAGCTGCCCGCAGGCCACAGTCTGCCCGCATTTATTATACACGCGCACCAGCTCGAGGGCTTGCAACATAATAAAAACGTTGCGTTTTATAGCAACAGCCAGCAGTTGGGCAACATGTTGCCAGCAACATTGTTGCAGAGCACGCAAATTTCGCTGCGTGTTCGCTATGGCACTTTCCATTTTCATCTACTGGCGAGCCCGGCTAGTTGCGGCTGCTTTAATGGCTTAATACAGCTAGCGACGACTACAAATTGAAACTTGGCCACAATTGCTTTTGGCCAATTTTACGCAATTCGCCGCACAGTCAACAATAAATTTGCAAATTGCAAAAATGTGGCGCGCAAATGAAAAGAAATGCAGGTCGCCAACAGCACAACAGCCCAACTGCCAACTGACCGCACAATAAATTCAACAGACTTCCAGCTCCAACTCCAACTCCAGCTGCAGCCCCGACTCCTGCCAGCTGCAGCCTCCTCTCATTTTCCTGGCTGCAGCAACAAATTTGTTGTTTAGGCACAGTTTTGGCATTCGCTTCGCTTTTCATTTGTAGTATTTCCAGTGCGCTGCCAGCCCAAGCCAACCCAAGCCAGGCCAGGTTCCCAGTTGCCGTGTCTGCTGAATTTCGAGTCCCAGCTCTCGGCTCGCCAGCCCGTTTGTTTGGCTTGTAATTTGAGTTTGAATGCGGCTGATTTGACAGCAGCCAACACTTTTGTCTGCCCGCCGCTGGCATCTGTCTCCAGCTGTGACTGCGACGCGGACTGCGACCGCGACGGCGACCGCGGACGTCGACTGCACGTGCAGTGGTTCCCCCTTTTGGCTATCCCACGCCAATCCAGTGCACTGCAACGCCACGCATTCTTTACAGTCCTCACCTCTCTTCTTCTCTCGGGGTACAGCGTTTTGCGCTTTAAAATGCAAATGTCGACGCTCCCTAAAACAATGGGGCAAAACTACATTTTAGCATGGTTTACTGGCTGCCAAAGTCGAAAAATCTGCGCAATTAATTTGCGGGGCTAACCGCAACAGCCACTCGCTGCAGCCGTTCCACTGGCACCACCTTCCACAATATATTGACACATCAGCAACTGAGCGCGCAGTCAGCGAACTAGAAATGAAATTGCAATCGCTAAAGCGGATGCGGATGCGGCTGCGGATGCGGATGCTGAAACAAAAAGAATGAATTCGCCTGGTTAAATCATCCGGGTCCTCAAATAAAACGAAAAAAAAGAAACAAAAACAACAAAAGGGCGGCCACATTGTTTTGATAAAACGCCCGCATGGACACACACACACACACACACACGCACATGCATACAAATACAAATATTCGTGTATATGTATATGGATCCCAGTTGGTTACGCCCATCAGGCAAACGTTTGGCCAGGAGGAAGTCAATGCTACAGTTACATATGCACAGACAATGCACAGTTATCCTTTGATAGATACAACAACAACAACTACAACAATTGGCATAAAATGGTGCGTGCTGTGGTTGATATAAGGCGCGCATTTGATTCCCCTACAATACAAAGCGCAGATCTATTTGGCTACTCGGGATACTCAAAAAGATATTTTTGTGATGTTTTATCTGCATTTAAGAAAACTTGGCAAATTGTCAAAAAAAATATGTCTTTACAGGAGATCCAATCAGCTCCAGTGTTATAGAAAATTCTTAGAAATCCTATATGTGCTTGGTAGCCTAGTAGCCTGGTATAATTTTATTTTACATTTATTTTTTTTTTATTTATTTATTTTT